GGAGGGCTGAGAAAAAAACAATTGAGAGGTGATGAACTGTCCACTGTCCACACATGATGTCGGAAGACAGAAGGCGGTGTTTGTTGCTGCGGGTTGTTGGTTTCAAGCCTTTTGGCTGGGTTAGGCCTCCATGCACCGTGCAGCCACTGACACATGGATGAAAGCGCTGATAAAAAATTAGAAGCACCGGAGCACCAAGTCAAGCGATTCTCCAACAGTTGTTTCTTCAAACAACAGCCAACCTCTTCAGGATCTTTGGCAGCTCACAATATGTTCATTGTATTTGGTTGCGGCGCTGCAAATCAATCGACCGGTATGGCTATGATACACTATATTTATAGGATGCTTAAGGGGGGGATGGAAGGGGGGGTGAACATGTATCCCTAGTGATGTTAGATCCACCCCCATTCCTTTTATAGAGTTCCCTAGCAGTGCTAACAATAAGGGCCCTTAAAGGAATACCAAAGGGTCTGGAGAGGTGCCTAGCACTCCTGGTTTATACATGTTTTGGCAGTAACCAAGAATGAACAATTAAGGGGATATGAAATTTGGAACCGGCATAAAACTTAATTAGGGACCCGTGATTTTTTATGTGTCACCGAGCTTAATCCGCTGGGGACCATGATTCTTCATCCAGCCCACCACATTCCAAGCACGGATAGGGTGTAGTACCGCAGACTTACCCAAAAAAACGCAATAAAATTTGCACAAATTGTGAAAAACACAGGTTTTTGTACGATTTCTGGGTGGCCAGGGAGCTCCCTAGCACTATTGGGGAGGCTTAGGGAAGCTTAGGGAGCCCTAGCACTCCCAAGCAATCCCTTTACTGGGGGCCTCTGGAGAAGGATTCGGTCTCTGGGAACTCGTCATTTCTTGTCGCCAAGTATCGCATTGTCGCAGCTGAAATAATTTCGCTACGGTGTTTTGGTGTTTCACACCTTCTGTCTTTCCAACATGGAAATCAGTACACATGTTTTGGTAAACAACAAGAAGAAGAAAGTTTGCTGAGCTTAAGGTGTGGCGAGCACCTGGGGGTGAGAACTTCTAGGAAACAGGGTTAAGAGCTTAAAGTGGCAGGTTGCCATTGTAACCTCAGATCCACAAAGCTCCCTTGGCCACCCCCCCCTTGGACCCCCCTCTTAAGAACCCTACTCTATATTATATATGTACAGGCTGACTAAGCAGCGGCTGACTAGAGCAGGTTCGGGGGGTTGCACCAAGGCCGACAAACACTTCCAAATCTTCCAAGAAATTTCTGCGATGTCAAGAAAATGTTGATGCCATCAGCCCATAGGGCCCATAGGGACGTAAAGCTCTGAGTTCCCGAAGGAAGTCAGTCTCCTTGTCCACATGCTCACCCAATCCTGCTCATGTGGTACCAATCAGCTTCATCGCGCCGAGAGTAGTGCGCCTGCGGCAAGACAAATTCCCGAAGGAAGTCAGTCTCCTTGTCCACATGCTCACCCAATCCTGCTCATGTGGTACCAATCAGCTTCAGGTCCTGGAAGCTCTGCCTGTCGCGCTGCCGCTGGTTTTGAGGAGGGAATTGGTCGCACTCCAGGAGCAGCTGGCTGACCCGCGCGGGGCGGTAGCCACGGCGGAGGAGCTCTCGCCGAACAAGGGCCTTGTCCCCATTGAACCTCGCTTTCAGGTCGTAGACAACGCGCTGGACTGGGCCCACCATGTCTGTTGGTCCGACGGGGTGTGGGAGCGGAGAGGCGAGGGCTTGTTAGCTTTGCGACGGCTGCGGTTTTTTGTTTTTTGCCGTGACTCAGATCTGGATGATGACTACGTAGTACCACTTATAATGTGGTACCAATCAGCTTCATCGCGCCGAGAGTAGTGCGCCTGCGGCAAGACAAAATACTGGCCATACTGGTTCTCCAATCTAAGAGTTCTTCTGGGGGACAAAAAACAATTCCCTGAAAACATGGGCAGCGCGTTTAGCACTAACCAACTTATATGATTGGCCTTCATGGGTATGTAGTGATGGATGTGGATGTGGGCGGTCACATGGGAAACCCCTCACTTGCGGACACGACTTCCCCTCATCACTTGCGCACATCCCTGCACCCGTCACATTGGTTCATGCTTGATTGATTGATTGATTGATAGGTAGATAGGCAGATAGGTAGATAGGTAGATAGGTAGATAGGTAGATAGGTAGATAGGTAGATAGGTAGATAGGTAGACAGGTAGATAGGTAGATAGGTAGATAGATAGATAGACAGACAGATAGATAGATAGATATCCCAAACCTGTTTTTTTCAAAATAGTTGTTTCTGATGACTTCCTGTTTTGAACTCATATTATCAATGTATATGTTTATTTTGATATTAGTGCTATTGAAAAATGATGTTCAATAATATTAGTGAGCAGAAGAATTACAACAACAGCACCGTGCTGCACAGCTGTTAATTGAATGCCCCAGGGCCCTATCAATTCTTTGAGCGGTGAAGTTGCTTGACATTTTACCACCCCTAGTCTCAAGATTAAACTTCATCCCGCAATTGCCACAAAAATGTTTTAAGCACCACTGGTCATCAATGTAGTTTTCATCATCAACCCCTCTCTGAATTTTCCTGTCCTGCATTCTGTATCCTTCAACTTTGTTTTTGAAATAAGTTATGACCAAGTTTTTGGGCATCTCTTCATCTGCCTTCTCATGCTTGAAGAAACCGACATTGTTAAAATCACTGCACCTAGTGACTGCGCACCACAACCACTCTAATGCACGTCGATGTCGCCAAGCGCCACGCCCGCCATGCAAAGTGAAGGTCGACGTCACCAAACGCCATGCCTGCCACGCAAAGTGAAAGTCGCTATCGCCAAGTGCCACGCCTGCCACGCCAACAGCCGCGGCGACCACGGCGTCAAACGCGAACCAAGCGTGCCACCAGAGCCAGCCCAGTGCCAAGAGTGCCACCCCTGCCACGCAGAATGCACGTCGATGTCGCCAAGTGCCACGCCTGCCACGCAAAGTGAAGGTCGATGTGTGTGAGCAAGTTGTGTGTGTGTGTGTGAGTAAGTTGTGTGAGAGCAAGTTGTGTGTGTGTGTAAGTTGTGTGCGTGGACAAGTTGTGTGTGAACAAGCTGTGTGTGAGCAAGTCTTGTGTGGACAAGTGGGGTGTGTGCAAGTTGTGTGTGGGCAAGTTGTGTGTGAGCAAGTTGTGTGTGAGTAAGTCGTGTGTGTGAGTAAGTTGTGTGTGAAAAAGCTGTGTGTGGACAAGTTGTGTGTGAACAAGTTGTGTGTGTGTGTAAGTTGTGCATCGACAAGTTGTGTGTGAACAAGCTGTGTGTGAGCAAGTTTTGTGTGGACAAGTGGGGTGTGTGCAAGTTGTGTGTGGGCAAGTTGTGTGTGAGCAAGTTGTGTGTGTGTGAATAAGTTGTGTGTGAAAAAGCTGTGTGTGTGTGTGTGGACAAGTTGTGTGTGTGAACAAGTTGTGTGTGAGTACGTTGTGTGTGAACAAGTTGGGTGTGAGCAAGTTGTGTGTGGACAAGTTGTGTCTGAGTATATAAGTTGTGTGTGAGTAAGTTGTGTGTGTGTGTGAGTAAGTTGTGTGTGTGTGAACAAGCTGAGTGTGAACCAAGTGGTGTCTGAGTAAGTTGTGTGTGTGAGTAAGTTGTGTGTGAGCAAGTTGTGTGCTAAGCAGTGTGTAAGTTGTGCGTGGACAAGTTGTGTATGAGCAAGCTGTGTGTGGACAAGTTGTGTGTGAACAAGTTGTGTGTGAGTAAGTTGGGTGTGAGCAAGTTGGGTGTGAGCAAGTTGTGTGTGGAAAAGTTGTGTGTGAGCAAGTTGTGTGTGAGCAAGTTGTGTGTGAGTAAGTTGTGTGTGTGAGTAAGTTGTGTGTGAACAAGCTGTGCGCGAACAAGTGGTGTGTGAATCAGTTGTGTGTGAAGAAGATGTGTGTGAGTAAGTTGTGTGTGAACAAGTTGTGTGTGGACAAGTTGTGTGGGAGTAAGTTGTGTGTGAGTAAGTTGTTTTTGAGTAACTTGTGTGTGAGGAAGGAGCGGCGGGAGGCGGCGGGAGTGACGCGGGACGATGGCGGGAGTGCACAACCAAAAACAAGAATCCTACACAAAGCTGTGGGGAAAAAATCTTCAATCGAAAGAAATAAAACCTTCATAAATCATAGCCTTCTGTTGTCTTTTGAGGACGTTGACAAGTTGACCCCAGTTCCTCCTCAGAGCTCTCATCGTCGGAGTCACCAAGGAACTTGCGGTCCTTGGGTCTGAAAGCAAAAGCCGCCCGACGCTTTATGTACTTATTCCCAAGCCGCGATGCTACAACATCCACCAGATCCCTTCCAGTTTGTCAACATGCGGTGTACTTTCAATCTTCCCAAACTGAATGAAAGACAAGTGTCATGTTTTTGCAGATGAAGCATAGTAGGGGGTCAGCAACCAAATGGCAATTTTTCCCACGAAGATGCCACAGATTTAGGGCCGGACGTCGACATGGCTGTAGCTCCTCAAAAACTTCGAGCGAAAAATGGGTGCCGTATAGAAACAGGAGCCCTCTAAACGTTTTATGTACACAGCACCTACACATCCAGAAACAGGGTTTATGTTGAACCCTAAAGCTAGGGATCTTTTTTCCCATGGGTCTGAAATATTTCCCGAAGATACAGATTTTCTGAAGATACAGATTTGGATGGATCTGTGCCAGCGGCGGGACCGTCTTGATTTCTCTTGCCCATCGCTCTGCCTTGATACACACAACACCAACACCAAGGCAAGTACCGACAGCGGCAACACACTACACTCCCGAAATCAAACCTTGCTATGTGATATCTCCACGTTCAATCAGTAGACAGTAGATCATGTAATATATACATAATACCAGCAGTACCGCACAAGGCGGTGGCGGAAGTTTCAAAAATAGGAAACCTATAGGAAAGGTTGGTGTGTGTGAATCAGGGATGGCAGCGCGAAGCCGCTGATGGACCGAAAGGTGGTTGAGGTCTACTCTCTTTCTCTTTCTTTCTCTCTTTTTCTCT